CCATTTCTGAATATTGTGAGGGATTTCTGACCGTGAATGGTTGTGAGGGATTTCGCCGGAGATGGGGACGGAAATCTTCGGAGATGGGGACGGATTTCTTCGCCGTAGAGAGTGAGAGATGGAGATGGGACTGAGTTGTGATTTTAGGTTTTAGGTTATGAGTTGCGATTACGGGATTTTGTCTTAATATTCGTTTTTGTAATTTGAAAATAAAATACGCGTAGCGATTATAATGGCGCTTTAAATATCGCGTTGCGATTTACGGATACGCGTTGCGATTTTATGTATTATATTTGCGATTTACGGATACGCGTTGCGATATACGGATACGCATTGCGATTTACCCATACGCGTTGCGATTTACGGATACACGTTGCGATTTACGGATACGCGTTGCGATTTATGTGTTCGCGTTGCGATTTTCATATTCGCGTTGCGATTTTGGAAAATCGCAATGCGAATTTGTACTATCGCATTGCGATTTTCAAGAATCGCGTTGCGATTTTGGAAACTGATTTGCGATTCTGGGGATCGCGTTGCGATTTTTATTTCGCGTTGCGATTTTGTTGGTCATTTTGGCAAATCCAAAAAAAGTTGGTTAAAATCGTATATTATAAGGCATTTTTGGTCACTGAGGCGATTTTCTCTTTTTTAAATCATACATAAAATTATATTTTAGTTTTATTTTGATTACAGTCGTAAAAATTAAATAGAAATACTAATGTGATATTACATTATGATCATTAATTTTTTTTAATGGCGTGTGGTCAAATCAGAACTACAACAATATGTGGGTGACTAAATTAGTAGTTTATAGTAAAAAATTTTAAACACGGCTCTGGTATACTCCTTGGGTCAAAGCTTCATATAAAGCCAACGGCTACGTTACCGTTCTCTCTATCAAATCGCCGACGCTTTCCTTTTTAGCACCGGAGTAGAGAAAAGCGGCAAAAAGATCGCGCAAATTTGGAAACGGAAAGAGCACAAATATCGGGAAAAATAGAGATGACGAGTAGTGTAAATTAATCGGGTAGTTTTGGATCGCCCACCTCTACAGTTGATTGTTGTTCCCATTCTTCATTTTAAAAAGCTCCCATTTTCAACATTTAGCTTTCTATTCTTTTCCTCCGGTAAAGAATCCGCGGTCTTTCCTGAGCAGAAAGTTTTGGATTTCGGCCATTGCAGCAGCTATGTCCTAATTTCTAGACTGCCATTTCAGAGATTGAAAGAGAAAAGTTCTTTTTTTCTTCTTTTGATTTTCTTTTTTCCTTTCTTCCGTTCTTCACTCGAGGGTGGAAATCAACATTTGTGGAGATGTCCGTTGCGGATGTTGCTTGGAGACGGGTTAGTCAAGAAACGGTTCACCCTGCTTCCGGTTATTTCAATGACCAAGCGGCATTTGACTCCATCTTGATTTACCTTTCAATCCCCGGTTTGGTGATCCTGATGCGGGTCCTGGAGTCCGATCCCATTGCTTCAGTCAAGCTTCGGATCCAGACGTGTAAAGGGTTTGTAGTGAAGAAACAGAAGCTTGTCTTCGAAGGCAGAGAATTGGCTCGTAACAATTCACTCGTTAAAGACTACGGCATAAAAGGTGGTAATGTTTTGCATTTTGTCTTAAAACTTTCTGATCTTTTGCTCATCACTGTACAGTCGAGTTGCGGTAAGGAATTTGAACTTCATGTTGATCGGAATAGAAATGTTGGGTATTTGAAACAAAGGATTGCCACAAAAGGGAAGGGCTTTGTGGATGTTGATGAACAAGAAATTTTTTGTAATGGAGAAAAAGTCGATGACCAAAGATTGGTTGATGATCTATGCAACGATAATGATGCTGTGATTCATTTGGTGGTTCACAAATCAGCCAAAGTTCGAGCTAAGCCTGTCTAGAAAGATTTGGAACTTTCGGTTATCGCCGAGCTCGATTCAGATGAGAGAAGAGGAGGGATTGTAGGAGGTGAACAAATTGAACCCGAGGGGCTTCATATTGTAGCACAAGGACCCTTCGTCAGTGATTTTTGGTTAGAACCTGTTCTTGTTAATCCTAAGGTGAAATTGCCTTTCTTTGTATGGGATATGATAGATGCCACATTCGAAGGGTTGCTGGTAGGGAATAGGCCGATCAGATCATCCGAAGGGACCGGAGGGACTTACTTCGTGCAAGACAAGTTCGGGTTCGATTATGTTTCCATTTGTAAGTCTATCGATGAGGAGCCGATGGCTGTAAACAGTCCACAGGGGTTACCTGTTTCAACAGATGGGGAAGGGTTGAAAAAGGGTACCAGAGTTGGAGAAGGAGCTTTAAGAGAAGTGGCTGCTTATATACTGGATCATCCCATGAATGGACCTCGATCTTTGTCGGGTGAGATGTTGGGGTTTGCCGGTGTACCTCCTACCTGCATGGTTCGATGCTTGCATGAAGGATTCAACCATCCGGATGGATATGAATGTGCACCCGAGAATGTTAAGGTTGGATCCTTGCAGATGTTTATGAACAACTCTGGGAGTTGTGATGATATGGGTCCTGGAGCATTCCCTGTAGAGGAAGTGCACAAGATCACCGTGTTCGATATAAGAATGGTGAATGCTGATAGGCATGCTGGGAATATCTTGATTGGAAAACGGGACGATGACCTGACCGTTCTGACTCCAATTGATCATGGCTACTGCATGCCTGAGTGTGTAAGTACTATCATTCTAAGAATGCACGCCATGTTTGTGTTCATTAAGTGTTTTTGCACATATAGGGGAACTGGTATTGCTGGTTTAGTTGTGTGAATCCTTTTGTGTTCATGCTGTTTTGATCTCATGATCCACTCTCATTACTATACTTACTAGAATCTGAACAAGAGGGGAAACATATAAATATGTCGATTTCAAAACTAATTTCGTTTTCGCTCTGCATGCAGTTTGAGGATTGCACATTTGATTGGCTCTATTGGATACAGTCAAAGCAGCCTTACTCTCCAGACACCATTGCCTACATAAAATCACTGGATGCTGAACAAGACATTGCACTTCTGAAATCATATGGCATGGACGTCCCTCTCAAGTGTGCTCGAACACTCCGTATCTCCACCATGCTTTTGAAGAAAGGGGTTGAATGAGGTCTCACTCCGTTCTTCATCGGAAGCATCATGTGCAGAGAAAACATAAACAAGGAATCTGCAATCGAACAGATCATTCGAGAAGCTGGGGATTCTTTACTTCCAGGCATGAGTGAAGCTGCATATATTCAGAGCATCTCAGAAGTGATGGATACATGGCTTGACAAGCTTGCAAATTGAATTTAATTGGTTCTTTGTCATCCACAAACATAACTAGGTGCGCAATTCATTCGCTGCACTCATATAATTATCAGTCCTTTTATTCTTGGACTGCAAATTAGGAGAATATAGATGGCTAATCCAGGGGCCGCAAGCTTTCAATTTTCTTTTTTTTTTCTTTTAAACTGTCGAGTTATTTATTTATTGATGATGCTATAAATAAATGGAATGGTTTCTAGGATGAATGAGTTATAACTCTGCTAAGACTCCATAGATGACAGGATTATATAGCTCTAAACGAGCAATAAAACATGTACATATTGGTCTTATATAATCCGGAGGTGTGTAAACATTTTGCAGGGTATATTTGTGTTGCCCTTTATTCTTTTAAATTACGTCTTATAAATATAATCAACATTATCTGGATGTATCTATACATTTATAGAGCATATCTGTACATGCAATTAGGACGAGTAAAACTTGACTCAACTTGAAGAAAAAAAATCGAATTTTATGATTCGATTGATGTTAAAACCTCAACTTGACTCTACTCGTAATTTTATAAATTTTATTCGACTAAGAAAAATTGAAATAAAGTTTAAGTTATAAAATAAGACTCGAATAACTTGATGTTTTTAGTAATTAGTAGATTGATTTTCAAGTTCGACTCGAATCTCTCAACTTTGCATTATATATGTATATCACGTATGAAAAAAATATAGATACATACATATATATATATATATATATATATATATATATATATATATATATATATATATATATATATATATGTATGTATATTGTAAATGATTATATAAAGTCGTTTAAATTAGATCAAATTAATTCTATAACATTATAAATATTTATAATTAAATTTAAACAAAAACTCGAATAACTCGACTCAAATCGAGAAAATTTCAAATAAAATTTGAAATATAAAATAGGATTAGTCAACTTAACTAATTTAGATTTTTTTTATTCGACTTGACTAAACTAAACTCGACCAAATACTCACCCCTACAAGCAACCCTTCACCCAAAGTAAGTGTTCACTTTCACATCACTTACCCAATTTCCCTTAAACATACTCTTTCCCTGCATCCAAAAACACCCTTCTCTCTGCGGGAAAAAAATCCTTTTCTTTTTAGGGTTGGGTCAAATTTTGGTATACCCAATTTGTCCACAAAACACAAAAAGTAGTTCTCTTTCTCTTTTAGTGCGAAGAAGCCAAAAATTTTGAGATTACTTGGTCAACGAAATTGTTAAGTAAAGATGGTTAGTGTAGCAGTAGTTTAGCAGTCAATGAATTTCAGTATTTAAATTTACCTAAAATCGATAGATTAGTGACTATATCAAAATATTTTTTTATTAAATATTGAAAAACTCAAAACTAACAAATAATGGTTAACAATTTTATATTATTAGTTAATATACGAATTTGACCGGAGGATCTCAAATTACTTGAAAAGTACAAACTTGGTTAGAAGATGACTAAAATGAACAGATAGAAATTGAGGTTTTCGGTTGGTAATTAGTTTAAAATGGGAATTTGTGAATATAGTGGATTTGATTAAATGAATTAGTAAAACTATGGTTATATATGTTAAATGTTTAAATTATTATTATTATTATTATTATTATTATTATTATTATTATTATTATTAATTTGTTGTAAAAATTCATTTTACTTTTAGCAGGTGGAGTCCATCATGTTTGAGAATACGTTAAAACAATACATATGTTTTTCTTAATCCACAGCAATAGGAACCACTAAAGGACTCCTCTAATGGCACATATAAAAGATAAAGCTGTATAAGGCAAACTATTTGAACTTGTAAACATTGGACTTCAAGTTCAGATCAGGTCTCCACCATTGATGAATCCCATGTGCTTGCTTGAAATCATTTGAAGGACTCAGATTCACTGTCAAGTTTGCTGAAGGAAGCAGATGCAGTGGCTCTGCAACTTCTGCACCCTTTCCAACTACACTCATAAACAGACCTCCTAATGAATGTTGTGTTGCTAATCTCTCGATGGCCCCTGCTCCGATTTCTTCCATCTTTTTCCGGTGCTCGAAATAACCGACATACTCGGAGCAAATGTGGTCTGCGGGATTCACAAATAGTGATGGTGTCCATGCAGACAAAGCTGCAAATGTACCTTCGGACTGACGAGTCCTTGGATTCTTACCCTTTGCAGCAAGAGCAAGTCCTGCTGTGATTACACTGCCTGCGATTCGAAGTCCATGTTTCACTTTCTTATCTTTGATTCTCTCTATCGGGGCGGATAAGAATGGAGGATTGAAGAGGAAAGCTTCCAAAAAATTTCCCATCTTAGCCATGGTCTTTCCAGCCAGCATTACCATGGCTGCCCCCAGGGAATGGCCAGCTAACCAGACATTTTTTTCACCTACGGTAGCAACCATGTTTCGAACAGCTTGCATGCCGATCTCAAACCGAGAGGTCTGGTGTAGCCCATTTCGTATTATGTGGACATCCAACTCAAAGTCTCTAGTGAATGAGTCTGGTCTAGTTATGGTACCTCGAAACGCAATCACATAGCGGGGACTTCGATCGATCAAGACTATCGAGTCATTAAAATGAGACGATGGAGGCTTATACTCATAAATAGCACCAAAGACGGCAAAATCAGCATCATCAACAAGCTTACGAACCAACTTAAAATGAAAGAACTCCCACCATGGAGGAGCCAGAGCTTGAGAACCCTCTCGCTTTTCCTGACGGTCTCGCTCCAAGATATAGACACCCTCAACCAAACTGGCTGCAACTGATCTTCTATGATGTGAATTATTCCTGGGTTTAAGTTAAGACACAAAAAAAAATCAGCTAAGAAACTGTTCACCTGCAAAGATTAATACTGATTTGAAGATCCACAAATTCTTAGAACCTAAACATCTTTAAAAATGAACAAATCCTTGGTTCCTTCCTTTTACTTGGCACAGAAGATTTATCTTACCAGTCTATATTATTGAGGTGTAAGGGCCCTGAAAGACCAAAAACTTCCCTCTCTGAGGCCATCATAGTATTCACAATTCTTTTTGTTTCTCCTTGATATTTAGAAATGCCTAGCTGCATGCACAAGTCATACCAGAAATCGTCATGTAGTCCTGACGAGTTATTAAATCGTCATGTAATCCTGACAAGTTCCTCAATTACTTTAACAATCATCCTAGATCATGAAATAAATTCTATTGCACCTTATTCAAGCAATTTTTTTTCACCACAATATTCAAGCATTTTTGCCACACAACAAACAAGGAAGCAGGTTGGTCCCAAACCATCTTCTGAGCACCTAAATTAGCTTCAAGAAAAATTTAGTACACTCTAGTCTATCAGAGAAAAAGAAGAAAAATTTTACTAAAACAATTCGTGCAAGGCCAGACCAGACACTGGGGGAGCATAACATTCAGAATAGTGCATTTCACTTTTGCCATTTAAAGTTTGCAAGGCTGGTGAGATGGTTGGAGAGGTGAGCAAAACTTGATTTGGATTGAAAATTTATTTTTTTATTTGATTAAATATTAAAAAAACTCGACTAAAAAAACTTGAAAAAAAATTGAGTTATAAAATAGAACTCGAATAACTCGAAAATTTTAATAATTAGTAGATTAGTTTTTAAGTTCGAGCCGAGTCTTTCAGTTGTAGATGATATATGCATATCACATGTGAAATAATATAAAAAAATATAAATATGCATATCATATATGATTTTAGAAAACCATTTAAATTAAAATCAATTAGTAGCATAATATTCTGAATATCTACAATTAAATTTAAACAGAAATTCAAACAATTTGAACCAACTCAAATTTTATAACTTCTACTGGATTCAAGAAAAAATTCAAACAAAATTTGAATTAAAAAAATATTACTCAACTCTACTAACCCTATTTCTTTCACTCACCTTAGATGATTTTGATTGCAGCAAAATAATAATTATTAAAACAAGCCCAGAAGAGAAAGATTACACAAGAATCAGAAAACTATAAAATAATCTCATCTCTATGTCCAAAATTACCTCATAGAACGGGAAATTTTAATCATAAAAATACCGATGCAGAGCCATCAACATCCCTACAGCCTACGGAGACAATAGAACCCAAAAATGGCTGGAGACACCATAAATCAATGTGTTTGTTTTTCCTTTCAAATTTTCCATCTCCATCACTTAAAACAACTGCATTACGATCCAAAAAAAACAGCCTAAAAAGGATCGAATGTATAAAGACGAACACGTAGAGATCAATAGCTAAAACAATCAAATATCGAAATGCTGTTCTGCAGGAAAGAGTGTTACCTTGGGATGGGCGAAATGAGAGGTAAGAGCAGATCTGGGAGATTTGTGAAGATTTTTTTATGAACTGTAGCAGTTAGTTGGCGACACAGAAACGTTGAAATGTCTCTTTCATACACACGGGCTTTGATATTAATAATAAAACGATTTACAATTACAGGAAATAGTTTCGTTCGACGCCCAAACAAACTTTAAAAAAAATACCTATTTATTTACCAAAACCAATTTGTATTGATATATATCAGCTCCAATATTTCAATATTTTAAACCAATTTTTAGTATTTTATTTTATTTATTTCAACTTTTAATAGTTCTAAAATTCTCTGATCGTATAATACAATATTAATTAAATCTATAATTTTTTTAAACTCGCTTAACTCTATACATAAAATTTATATATAATAAACTTATTTTTTTTTTAATAATATAAGGTGATTAAACGATTGAATCTATTCATAATTTTTTTACTAATTGAAAATGAACACATACCTTCTGTAAACAAAACTATTTGAATATGAGGCTTTTAAGAAAAACAACACTCTCTTTTATCAATAAGATCGCTCAATGGATTTACATATAAACCTATTGTTATGTATAATAATTTAAATTGTAGAAAATTTGTCAAATTAGATTCTTATATAAATGTAGCAAACAGATCAAATGATGATGATGCTCCCCCAATGTATGGTTTGTAAAACTAAAACTATACTGAACCACTAAACTACTGCCGTTCATGAAATGAAATACAGCAAAAAACAAGCCCAGTAGTAGAAGCCACTCTTTATATTTTCAATCATAAATGAAAGAATGAATCATGTTTGCCCAAATCAAAATCGAATTTCGCCACCCTACTCGGACCAAGCAGCCGTGTCGATTTCCGCTTGTGCACTCCGGTATAACTCTAGCCTCTTCGCGAGAGCACTGCGTCGCTCCATCACTGCTGGATCCTCATTCAACAGTGCCAACAGTCGCTTTTGCTACAGAAAAAAAATCCCCACAAGTCGATCACACTAATCTATTTCCCCAAAGTTCATTTGGAGATGGATAGAGAGCAGCCGTTCTTACCTCCAGTTTACCCAATTCAGTGTAGAAGAAGTCGAGCAGGCTTCTTTTAGCTTCACGGACTTGACAATAAACTATAGACTTTGGAATCGAGTGGCGCAAACTAGCACAAACCATATTAACATAAGACAAAACGGTTGTTCCTGCTCATACATCATCCGTGAAACCAATGATTAGTTAAATAATCGAGATCTATCATACGAGAAACTTTTTCTGCTTTGGAGTTTAGGAACCTACCTATTCTCCTCAGGTACGAGTCGTTGTATCTGTCAAATATTGATTGTGTAGGGTTGCCACCTTTTTCGATATCTTGAGGAAGCTTTCGGAAGAACTCGACTGTAAGGTAACAACATTCCATATCAACCAGTTGAAGTGTTGCTTTCTTGCTCTGATCCCTCATTCTGTCAAGAGACTCGATTGCAGCATTTCCAACCTCTACTCTAAGACCAGGATACTGCTTTAACTCCTGCAAACCAAACCGAATTGATTCCTTTATACAAACTCAAGGACAAAAGATAAACAGACAGAGGGGCTTAATGGTAACAATAAATAATCCTCCAGAAAGCAAGATTTCTTTGATACATGAATAAGATAAGTAAAGATGGGAATCTACCGGAGTCTCATTGATCGCCTTGTGAACCAGATCCTTCAGAATGGAATGAACCTGAAAAGTGTGATAAAGGAAATTAACTGGATCCTTCAGGATCCAGGTCCGAGCCAAAAAAAATGACAGGAGAAAAAAGAAAAGGAAAACCAGAATAATGTTTTACATATGCCGAATCTAACATACTATTCGACTTTCTAAAATTTTATATCTTACCGCATCAACAGCAGCCTCAGCTGGACCTCTGATGGTAACCAGAGTAGATTCAATCAAACGACGATATCCTTGTTCTGGAGCTATTAAATGTGGTTGATAACCGTCAGCTTCAGTAACGAGCTTCTTAATGTTCTCCATTGATAGCTGCCTGTCAAATTGCAACCTTTTCAAGGCAGCAGGAAGTTGGTTGTCAAAAACATTGTAAACCTTCTCACCACCAGAACGCCTATAAGCAAAAATCAAAGTCAACAAAAATAGCGAAAATGAGTGAAGCTGGTGACAGGGGACTTGAGGATTGTAAAAACACGTGATACATACACTCCATCTAGATGTTCTCTGTAATTTTGATCAAAAAGACGGCATATCTCCATGATTGTATACAACTTTCCCTGTATAAACATTTAGGCCATCAGCAATCCTCAAGGAACTAATAATTGAGTATCAACAGCAAGTAGAAACGGTGAAACAAATCTAAACTAAAGTCACACGCACACACTTAAAACATGAGCTACAAGAAGAGCACACTTACGCCTGCATCAGCAGCGATAGGCCTTCCAAGGCGACTCAATTCAGTTTCAAGTTCAATAATTGTCTTATTAATAAGGGACTGAATGCCTGGAATTCTGGACTTGATTACAGTTTCCAAATGCTGAGACATTAACCAACCAGTTTGACAGAGTTAATAACAATTAAAGAGAATGTTGCACAGAATCAAGTACCATTGCGTCCTTTACAAGAGAAAATCAAGGATAAAAATGTTATAACATAAACAAACACAAACTTCCTATTAGCATACCTTTGAGAGCATCTTACCGAGATGCTCGGATCCCATTCTGTTAGCAAGGTGCCTATACTCTGGTGTACTAGCAAAATACTCACGCTCCCTTCGCCGAGCAGCAATCATGTCAACATTCTTATTAATATCTGCTTGTGAGCGATTCACAACACCAACCCAAGGAAATTTCAGCCGATAAGATTTTCCTTCCAATATCTAAATCCACAAAAAATATGACTCAGAACATGATAGGGCCAAAGGCATCTAATACTCAAGAATTTAAAAGGTTTTAGCATGTGTAAATAAAGCACAAACCAACTTACGTCAACAGCATCAGTGCCCTTATCCATCAGATCAATCTTTGTCAAGACACCAAGAGTCCTCTCCCCTGAAAGATTTATATCAATGCCATGTATTAGAAAATCAGAAATGTGCAACCACAATACGTTGAAAAGCTTACATATAATAGCAACTCTTTTACACAAGTATAAATTGAAAACCAGCCCATGGTTCACATGATATTGTCAAGAACTAGTAGAGAAGATGATCATCTTCTACTAAAGCAAGAAAATACCTGTAGGGTCCACCTCACGGGAGATTTTAATTGCATCTGATGTAGCAAGATCTTGATTAGCAGGTGAAATTGCTAAGATTATACAGTTAGGCTGCATAAAATGTTCACCAAGATCTCGATTAGCAAGATCTGTTCAGCTCTCGTGCTTGCACAAAATAATATACACCACACTTATTTTGGGGCGGGGGAACAGCAATTTACAGCAAGAACTATCTCAGTTGTACTAGATTTCAATAGGAATCGCATTAAAAAAATTACTGAAGGAACATAAAAGCCATACCGCATTTTACCTTCTCAATGTAGGAGCGAACCATATTCTCGATATCTTGTACAATGCTTTCTGGTTGACCCTCTGCATTTGGCAAGATAATCCATCAATTCCCCATAATATTAATCAAGAATTTTGCAAATCTTAACTGATATAGCCATTATACTTGAATAAAAATTAAAATGTGAAGATTAAATTTTAGGTTCCGTGGAAATATATTGCAATCTATCAATAACAGTAGAGTAAAATTGAGATTATGCAATATAAGGATGGAAAATTTCTTTGAATTTTCACAAGGTTTTTCCGTTAACTTACCAACAGCTACCTTGGTAAGACCAGGAAGGTCAACCAGAGTCAAATTGACAACTGAAACAAATTTAATAAAAAATCATCAATAAGTAAAGAAAATCTCTTGTACATTTAAAAACAATTAATAAAATGCAAGAGAAAAAGATAATACCGTTGGGAGAATATATACTAAGATGAATTGGAACACTGGAAATTTGTTTGGATCGCCCAGTTTCTCTATCCGTCTCATCTTGAATCTCCTTCCTAACAGAAGCTACAACGTATATGATAAATAGTTAAAACCTAAGATTTATCTAATTATTCATTTTAAAAAAAAGAATAACAAGAACTTTACCAAAATCGGTAAATCTTTTTCTTGGAAGGTGAAGAAACTCAGCGTATTCTCTGCTTCCTTCATCACTCTTATGAAGCTGTAACACGAGAGGCCTTCGAGTAACAATTCCTGCATTAATTTTTAATCCAAAAAAATAAGGAATGAAAAAAAAGAATAATTTCTTGAGTTTCTTAGAGACGAAGGATAGATTGAAAGAGCGATATTTATTTATCGTCGTTACCGGATCCACGCGGTAAAAATCCTTGCCGACGATGCTTTCCAGCACCGAAGATTTCCCCGAACTCTGTTAAAATTGAAATATCAGATCATCAGGAAATGAAGAAAACAAAAGTTGACTAAAAATTGAGAAGGGAACGAAAGATGGAGTAACGACCTGACCACCGACGACGGCGATCGCAGGTAAAGAGTCCCAAAGAGTAGGCAAGGCGCTTGCTTCTCCATGGTCACCAAGAGCGGTGCAAGCTCTTTGAATCTTGTTCACGAGAGAAATCAAATTCTCCATTTCTTTGAGCAGAAAGATCGGTGCAGGAAACTATAACAGACGTTGGATTCAAATCAGCTAGATCTCACCTGATGAAGCAAATAATCCGCACCGTAGGATCTAAGTGATATGAGAAACCAAAAGCAATGCCGTCTTTGAGAGAAAGAACAGGTTTTTTTTTTTAAGTTTTGAAATGGAGGAAGAATACAGAGATGTCTTTAAATTGAAGCGCATGTCATTTATTATTTAATATTTGTTGACGTTTTAAGAGCTAATATCTCTCTTGGTCCATGTACTTTATTCGAATTCTCAGTTTGGTATATATATTGTTATTTTTTTCAGTTTGATATTTTTATTATTATTTTATAATCATCATCTGTTAACAGGTAATGTGGTATAATCTTATGTGTCATGTATAAATATAAGAATTTAAAAATTATAGTTTATTAAATGATCTCCGTG